CGGCTACGGGCCTGTAACATGTAGTGATTAAGATCAATCTATCGTTAAACATCGGTCAGTGATCTTTCACGGAGGTGACTAGAGAAAGGCGCAGAGTTTCACGTGTGTGAGCCAAAGATTTGACTAGGAGTTTAGTCACCTAACAATAAGGGTGTCTCTCCTTTTGATGTTATGTAGTAGCTATGATCTACTAAAGATACATACCTTTTTACGAAATATTCATATTGTTGCATGTAGTGCCAAAGTAACGAAATGAAAACCCCGTGTTAAAATATGCAAACATTTCATGGGATTTTCTTATTGTTAGAAAAAAAAAGTAACAAAAAAATCTATTAAGATATGCGCAAGAGGTATAAATATTTTGTTTGCTGTACTGATGCCTCGTGTATTATCACAATAACGAATGTGTTCATGTATCCAGCAGTTTTCATATTTCAGTCGATATTACAGTGATCTATGTAGTGCATTATGCGACTCTGTTTGTTCAGGATCTGGTTAATCTTTGGTGAGATGGAAGTGAATATCTCCGCTTGAACTTCCTTTGTGAAACCGATCGCACTTTATATTTTATATGCTACGTATCATATACATGTGCTATTTACACGAGCATGATTGAAAATTATAAAATAATGTGTCTGATGCGTGTCGAAAATTGTTGATTACCAAGAAAAGTGTTGCGGCACATTGGCGTTGCACGTACCAATATAGCGTGTGAATTTCAGTTATTAACGGGCACTTTTTCTAGCGTCATTTATCTCAACGGTCATAGAGCCAAATGAAAGTAATTGTCTCTAATGATTTGGACATAATCACGAAGATTGACACCTGATATTTATCATCCATCGCAGAAATGCGTCAAACCCGCAGTGCATGACGTCATAAATGTTGTGTTTTGACTTTTGGAACGACCAGTGTTTCCTGGCATGAGGGGCGTGGGTTGAAAAAATGTATGTGTGTGTGGAGGGGTGCGGGGTAACAAATTCAGAAAAGAATATTGACTGGGTGAAGGACGACAAATCACCTACTGTGTTAGACAAGTGTGACAACCCCATAGAATACGCACCAAAATCCGTGCTTTTTGTATAAAACCATTTTCTTTTTACACTGTTTTAAAACCAAGACAAACAGTCGTTGTTATTTGATGTACGAAAATAACCATTACTTCTGATTAGTTAGTTGAACGTGCTCTGATTGGTAAGTGACGGCTGTTCCCTCTTCCTCCCCCTGCCTAATTAGCACCTTTGAAATCTTCATCGCAATGGGGTTAAAGGTACCCGTGGGCGAGTAATTAAATCAATTTTTGGCTACAGCCGATGCTGGTTGGGGCAGTGTCCCCACAAAGTCCTAACATTTTTGGGCGGATGCTATTTTGATGCAACATGGTGCCGAATCTACTGCAATAGACGTTTGCTTTGCTTGTCTCTACAATTATATGGAATCACGTCGTCTGTTATAATTTGCCAAAGGAGTTCGTTCGCATGTCCTGAGCAATTGGTTATCACAGGAAACCCAAATAACTTTTCATGTTACGTCGACTGAAAACCCCATTCTGAAGAGAAAGGAGAATACGTCTGCCTTTCTTGCCAACCTAAAATGTGGCGATTTGAACTCGAGCCTAGAGTATTCTTATCACAAAAAACAACAAATTGGTCCCTTTATCATTGCACAAAGACTTATAAGGGCGCATTGGGAGAGAACTCCGATGATTCATTGTATAATAGTCCACATTCAAAAGTTGATCTCTCAATTTACGTCTTTTATTACTGAACAATCATTATTCTCATTTTGATATGTTCGTGGAATAGCTTATAAGACATGTCCGGAAAAGTGGTTTAACAGAATATAAAAGGACCGCAAAACGAGAACGTTTGCCTAGTTTTAATGCACTAGTAATCACAAATGAAGATGAGAAAAAAATTTTCATTAAATTGCATTTGTCACGGGTGCTGTACGATGCATTCGTATACGATTTTCCGTGCGTCTTTTTTTTTTTTTTTCTTATTTTTTCCTATGAATGTGGTGAGTTGGCTGACCAACAGGAGCAGTCAAATTGACATCTAACAATTCTACTCTCTTGTGACCTTGACCGTTAGTATCATAGGAAAGATAGAAGAGCGTGAGTGAGCACTGCTGAGCAACCAAGCCAAGTCCCTTCAAAAATGCCAAGGTCAAATTAGCCTTAACACCAGCAATATAAGCCTTCCTGTTGGATAGAGGGTATAAATTGTTCCGAAAGGACACAGAGTTGTGCCTTTTTGCCGATGACTGATTAAAATTTGGCACTTTAAGTGTGCTTGACGGTATTCAATATATATTAATTTATACTTCTTTTAGCAATATCTATAAACAGAAATTACAGTCGCGAAAATAGAAATGGTTAGAAACGCTATCGGGGGACACCTTATATATAGGCTGCAGGCTTTAGGTGTCTGAAGGATCGCGATGTGGCATTTCAATATGTGACTCGATAATAAAATACTGCGGTTGTTTCATGAAACATTAAAGTAATGCTCTTGGCAGAATGGCTTCAAAGAACTTGTTTTGTGATATCAATGCGAGACTTACATGACTTGCTCACATATTATAATTAAGGTATACAGGCCCAGGCTATAATTTATAACGTGTGTTTTGTGTGCCCTTGCGCAATCTTAACAAACATGTCATATACGCCCTGCCTCAGTGGGGAAGCAGTTACGCATACAGATTTTGATAAAATGTGAATAATCAATCACTGTAGATGTGTCAGCCGGGGGGTGAGTTGTTCGAACCACGTCAGGTGTAAATGCATGAAGGTGAGGGGGGGGTTTACAGAAATCCACCCCTTTCCCACTGTAATTTTCTTTCTTTTTTTTTTTTGATTACCTAGCCCCCACATCAAGTTAGCCCCCCCCCCCCCCCCCCACATACACGCACGCAAACACACACACACACACACTGTTTTGTAAAGTTTGGACAGGTAAACCAGTTTAATGACAGTGTGTCCCACTTTGAAGCAGTCGTTGGACTCTAAGGTCAACTGCATCAGCTGTAAGGCAGTATCTGTTCGTTGTACATGGATACCACATTTTTGCCATGCCCATCATGCAAACGCCATGTTGCCGCGCGCGCAGCTGGTCGTCAAAGTGTCGTCTGCCACGAGTAATGATTGCCGTCTGCCAGTATAAAGATGACGGTGTCCTCCCCGAGAACAGGCTTGTGCATTTGTTAGGCCAAAAAATGCGGTTATGCCCTTGTCACAATACCGTACTGGACTGTGTTGTCCCGAAACGTGGAACAAAATAACATTTCTCCCTTTCTCAGATGATGTTGTAGGTGTCAATCCTTGTTTAAAGAGACTCATTCAGTTCTATGAAACAAAAACCCCTCAATGGTATAATCAAAAAGCATATGGATCATACGCCTAAACTGAAGATAACAAATGAAGGAAGTTAATTTATTAATTTGGCAAAGTAACATCTTACCTTTTTTATTTTCTTTTTATTTCTCTATGGTTCTGTAGGTCAGCATTGGGATAAGAGCTTTATTATTTTTTATCACATGCTTTACGATTCCCCATTTGTTATAGTTTTGCCAACAATTCAATGTGTTACTTAGAATAGAAACTCTCAACTCAGTTTTATCCAATTTCCGATCAGAAAAAAGCGATCACTAGAATTAGATAATGTCGGAATCTAAGGATGATATGAACGTTAGTCAGAGACGCTATATAACGTCCGACCTAAATATTAATACGCCGTTATCACAACGGCATTAACTCCATTAATGTCTCACGTTTAATCATTAACAGTTTATTATAACTGTGAAACAACCTAATATTTATCAATATGAAAATACAATGTGTAATAAATTTTCAATTTTAGTGACTTTTCCTTTTAAAGAAAATCGTGCCAGTACCGCAGATCGAGTTATAATATGACATTCTCAAAACAGATGTGCAGCCGGCTGCGCCTAAACCAGTCGCGATACCCGGTACATTATTTCAATCACGTACATCGTTCTTAAAACACTTCATTTCCACCTCAAGCAAGGTACGGGTCGCTCTGACCGACCCGCCGCCGTTGTATGACACTCAGTGAATGTACAGAGCTGACGGGGTGCCTTCACCTTCTGAGGCCATATTGTGAAAAAAATAACATCACCTATCTCGTTGAGGGTCGTCTGCGCTATTCTTCCACCTTCGGCTAGACCAGTTGTATATTGAATGGGTTATAGAATTGCCGGTTCTTCATTTGGAGAATTATAACACTCGGTGTGCATTGATCGCGCCAAGTGAGATTTCCTTCATGGTTAAGATGATATTGAAGCAATATAGCGGCAGTGTACAAAGTCGACTGACCTCGTGTATCTCTTATATTATCAGTAACTAAATTTAATTTTCTTGTTCTTTCAGATTTTGGGGAAAAAAGAGAATGGCAAAAACATTCAGTCGAAGAATGAAATCATTGGATACTTGGAAGATGGACCAAGAAGGATAGCCAAGATCGGGTCTAAAACGGATAAACCCTAAATAAAACGACGGACGCTGACTTCCCTGGCATCGTTACTTACTTAGTGAACACACACAGACCGCAGCAGTCTGTTTCAGGAATAAAGAAAACAAAAAACGCAAACCGCAGTCATGAATCTTTTTCGCAAAAAGAAAATCACTATCAGTGAGCGGGAGCCCTCATATAAAGTACGTTACCTTGGAAACGTACAGACTAGTATGACTAAAGGAGAGGGGTGCGTGGACAAGCCGGTGTCTCTCCTGTGGAATAACTATCTGACACGGCCCGTACCTGCTATGGAGATGGACTTCTCCATCAGCGCATCCGGTTTGAAAGTATACACTAGGGAACAGGGGATGACGGAATATTCCGCACACCGGATTTTATACTGTGTAGCCCACCCTGAGTATCCAAGGTTATTTGCGTGGGTTTATAGACACGAGGGGAAGAAAATGAAAGTGGAATTACGTTGCCACGCTGTGTTGTGTTCCAGCAAGCACAAAGCCGAGCAAATTGAGACTCAGTTAAAAGCGAAATTAAAAGAGGCACTCACGGAGTTTATGAGGGAGAAAACCAGACGGCAGAACTCTCGCCTGGCAAGATCCCAGTCTTTGGGATCTGCGGGACAGCCACAGGTGCCCCTACGGAAAAAACTCCTCAGTCCCGGACAGAATTTTAAGCCACCGATCGAAAGGTCACTTAGCGCGCCAAAACTGATCGCAATTTGTGAGGACGGGGAGTCGGAGCATATTGAGTCCAACGCGAAATTTGGAGCCTCTATGTGTATCGTTGAGGAGGAGGAGGAAGAAGAAGAAGAGGAAGAGGAAGATATTATGGATAGATCAATGGAATGTTCGGAATCTAGCGCGGAAGCAGACGACTTAAGCGCAATAAATTTCGTAACGGCATTGGAGGACTTGGAGGAGCTAAGTTTCGAGGACTCAGACGCTGTTGAGGTCATCAACAACCATAAGTATTTAAATGGTGACGATTTATCCGATCATATAGTTGACCTTGACCTTGAGGATTCAGACGATCCATTATTTGCTGACAGGGGTTGCAAGGATAGCCAACTCGCGCCAAGTGATAGTGACGGCGCCAGTTCCGAGTCGGGGTTTTCCGAGCAAAATGACTCGCAGAAACAAGAACATGGCGGACATCATTCTTTGACCAATGGTTTCCTAAAGACAGATACGTTACAGAGCATATCTGAAAATTCTCAAAGTGACTCCACCTCCACCTTGTCAGGGCATACGGAGAGGTTGTGAAATGAACGGTTTAGAATCTAGCTTCGAATCTATTAAATCGCTCAAACGTATATTTTTTTCTACTTTTACAAAGCGTGCATGGGACATATCAATCTGGTACCTCGTTCAGTTATTTAAAAATGTGCAAACGATTTCGAAAAGATGATGTCTGCCAAAGTCTGCGCCTGGATGTAAACACCGAATTGTGGATGGATAACCGTGCTTTATCCCTTCATGATACCGCCATGCGTTCAAACAGACGGCGCCATGCAATGTAAAGAAAAACGGAACGATGACGCTTATAACCATTGAATTTGTCCCCAGAAACAATAACTTTTTGCCGTTTTGAATATCGCGTTGTGCAAAGTTAGTCTGGGACATTGTTAAGAGTCAAATTCAGTATCCAAGACTATAAGGCTCAAAAATTGACTGACTTGATGTCGTCCTTACAATGTGTTCAGCGGAGAATGTCCTTTTTATGGATAACAAGTATTAAGATTATTGTTGCGCTAGATTTAATATCCTGCTAAGGCTCATTATGGATGATGAAATAATTTATTTCAGTCGGAGTTGTTAAGTTATTAATTGTTTCACCCGCACAGGCATGCAGACCATAGCCGTGAGAGCACCTTGCAATGATCATAATATGTACCTGGCCTTCAAATAAGGTCTGTCCTTCCGTGAAATATTAACACTTCTGTTATTATCCAAGTCATAAAAAACTGATGGTGTTTTCTGAAAGTGCTTGGGAGGACTTGACTATGTGACCAATAAATGCACCGAATTTCGGATTTTCTTGCATTAAGATGTTCAGAAGTCCTCGGCGGCGCAAATCTAAATTTTAAATGCTCATCATATAGTAACTGAACAAGAATCAAAGTTCTTCGAAGCAACTTTAGTCCATTTATGCAATATCCAGTAATCTTATATTTAGTCTGTGTGAAGTGGCTGAGACAATGCTCCGTGCATAGTCATGGTAAAAGTCAGTCTTCTCAGGATGGGGAGACTAATGGTCAATATATATTGCAATACGAAATCTTTGTATCTTTGTATAGAATGTAGTTAGCTAATATAATAATATTAATCCTGCTGTGCAGACATGTTTATATATAATATGCCATTATGGTGATATAGTTTTCATTTATTGTCAGTTGCCTTTCTTCCAATACTCCCTTTATTCGCGTCTTATTCTTATTATATGATGTGGTTATTTCTTTGTGGACTATTTTAGCCTTTGACGTAATAACGTGATTATTATTTTCTCCTTGCGGTTTTTATGTGTCCCAGAGGTTTTAAAGGATAGCAAGAAAGCTTATTTAGTTGCAGTTGTATGTATTAATCTTTTAGTCTTTGTAACTACTGATCATTTTGAAATCACTTTTGGTCACTTTAAAAATAAGGTGTAATCCGACTTGACATTTTGTCGCAATGCACCGAAATGGGCATACCGTCTCTGGATAAAGCTCCCAAATTTTGACCCATTTAATTTTATGAAACTTTTGTAGATATGTTGTTTATTTTGTATCTTCTAGCATATCCATCTTTTGTATATTTTTGTTTAGGGCAACGTTTGACATTAGTGGGTAAACGTGCACTTATAAATTCATCTGCTTTGAAATAACGCCGCTGNGCACACTGTTTTGTAAAGTTTGGACAGGTAAACCAGTTTAATGACAGTGTGTCCCACTTTGAAGCAGTCGTTGGACTCTAAGGTCAACTGCATCAGCTGTAAGGCAGTATCTGTTCGTTGTACATGGATACCACATTTTTGCCATGCCCATCATGCAAACGCCATGTTGCCGCGCGCGCAGCTGGTCGTCAAAGTGTCGTCTGCCACGAGTAATGATTGCCGTCTGCCAGTATAAAGATGACGGTGTCCTCCCCGAGAACAGGCTTGTGCATTTGTTAGGCCAAAAAATGCGGTTATGCCCTTGTCACAATACCGTACTGGACTGTGTTGTCCCGAAACGTGGAACAAAATAACATTTCTCCCATTCTCAGATGATGTTGTAGGTGTCAATCCTTGTTTAAAGAGACTCATTCAGTTCTATGAAACATAAACCCCTCAATGGTATAATCAAAAAGCATATGGATCATACGCCTAAACTGAAGATAACAAATGAAGGAAGTTAATTTATTAATTTGGCAAAGTAACATCTTACCTTTTTTATTTTCTTTTTATTTCTCTATGGTTCTGTAGGTCAGCATTGGGATAAGAGCTTTATTATTTTTTATCACATACTTTACGATTCCCCGTTTGTTATAGTTTTGCCAACAATTCAATGTGTTACTTGGAATAGAAACTCTCAACTCAGTTTTATTCAATTTCCGATCAGAAAAAAGCGATCACTAGAATTAGATAATGTCGGAATCTAAGGAGGATATGAACGTTAGTCAGAGACGCTATATAACGTCCGACCTAAATATTAATACGCCGTTATCACAACGGCATTGACTCCATTAATGTCACACGTTTAATCATTAACAGTTCATTATAACTGTGATACAACCTAATATTTATCAATATGAAAATACAATGTGTAATACATTTTCAATTTTAGTGACTTTTCCTTTTAAAAAAAATCGTGACAGTACCTCAGATCGAGTTATAATATGACATTCTCAAAACAGATGTGCAGCCGGCTGCGCCTAAACCAGTCGCGATACCCGGTACATTATTTTAATCACGTGCATCGTTCTCAAAACACTTCATTTCCACCTCAAGCAAGGTACGGGTCGCTCTGACCGGCCCGCTGCCGTTGTATGACACTCAGTGAATGTACAGCGCTGACGGGGTGCCTTCACCTTCTGAGGCCATATTGTGAAAAAAATAACATCACCTATCTCGTTGAGGGTCGTCTGCGCTATTCTTCCACCTTCGGCTAGACCAGTTGTATATTGAATGGGTTATAGAATTGCTGGTTCTTCATTTGGAGAATTATAACACTTGGTGTGCATTGATCGCGCAAAGTGAGTTTTCCTTCTTGGTTAAGATGATATTGAAGCAATATAGCGGCAGTGTACAAAGTCGACTGACCTCGTGTATCTCTTAAATTATCAGTAACTAAATTTAATTTTCTTGTTCTTTCAGATTTTGGGGAATAAAGAGAATGGCAAAAACATTCAGTCGAAGAATGAAATCTTTGGATACTTGGAAGATGGACCAAGAAGGATAGCCAAGATCGGGTCTAAAACGGACAAACCCTAAATAAAACGACGGACGCTGACTTCCCTGGCATCGTTACTTACTTAGTGAGCACACACAGATCGCAGCAGTCTGTTTCAGGAATAAGAAAAACTAAAAACGCAAACCGCAGTCATGAATCTTTTTCGCAAAAAGAAAATCACTATCAGTGAGCGGGAGCCCTCATATAAAGTACGTTACCTTGGAAACGTACAGACTAGTATGACTAAAGGAGAGGGGTGCGTGGACAAGCCCGTGTCTCTCCTGTGGAATAACTATCTGACACGGCCCGTACCTGCTATGGAAATGGACTTCTCCATCAGCGCATCCGGTTTGAAAGTATACACTAGAGAACAGGGGATGACGGAATATTCTGCACACCGGATTTTATACTGTGTAGCCCACCCTGAGTATCCAAGGTTATTTGCATGGGTTTATAGACACGAGGGGAAGAAAATGAAAGTGGAATTACGTTGCCACGCTGTGTTGTGCTCCAGCAAGCACAAAGCCGAGCAAATTGAGACTCAGTTAAAAGCGAAATTAAAAGAGGCACTCACGGAGTTTATGAGGGAGAAAACCAGACGGCAGAACTCTCGCCTGGCAAGATCCCAGTCTTTGGGATCTGCGGGACAGCCACAGGTGCCCCTACGGAAAAAACTCCTCAGTCCCGGACAGAATTTTAAGCCACCGATCGAAAGGTCACTTAGCGCGCCAAAACTGATCGCAATTTGTGAGGACGGGGAGTCGGAGCATATTGAGTCCAACGCGAAATTTGGAGCCTCTATGTGTATCGTTGAGGAGGAGGAGGAAGAAGAAGAAGAAGAGGAAGAGGAAGATATTATGGATAGATCAATGGAATGTTCGGAATCTAGCGCGGAAGCAGACGACTTAAGCGCAATAAATTTCGTAACGGCATTGGAGGACTTGGAGGAGCTAAGTTTCGAGGACTCAGACACTGTTGAGGTCATCAACAACCATAAGTATTTAAATGGTGACGATTTATCCGATCATATAGTTGACCTTGACCTTGAGGATTCAGATGATCCACTGTTTGCTGACAGGGGTTGCAAGGATAGCCAACTCGCGCCAAGTGATAGCGACGGCGCAAGTTCCGAGTCAGGGTTTTCCGAGCAAAATGACTCGCAGAAACAAGAACATGGCGGACATCATTCTTTGACCAATGGTTTCCTCAAGACAGATACGTTACAGAGCATATCTGAAAATTCTCAAAGTGACTCCACCTCCACCTTGTCAGGGCATACGGAGAGGTTGTGAAATGAACGGTTTAGAATCTAGCTTCGAATCTATTAAATCGCTCAAACGTATATTTTTTCTACTTTTACAAAGCGTGCATGGGACAAATCAATGTGGTACCTCGTTCAAATATTTAAAAATGTGCAAACGATTTCGAAAAGATGTCTGCCAAAGTCTGCACCTGGATGTAAACACCGAATTGTGGATGGATAACCGTGTTTTGTCCCTTCATGATACCGCCATGCGTTCAAACAGACGGCGCCATGCAATGTAAAGAAAAACGGAACGATGATCTTATAACCATTGAATTTTGTCCCCAGAAACAATAACTTTTTGCTGTTTTGAATATCGCGTTGTGCAAAGTTAGTCTGGGACATTGTTAAGAGTCAAATTCAGTACCCAAGACTATAAGGCTCAAAAATTGACTGACTTGATGTCGTCCTTACAATGTGTTCAGCGGAGAATGTCCTTTTTATGGATCACAAGTATTAAGATTATTGTTGCGCTAGATTTAATATCCTGCTAAGGCTCATTATGGATGATGAAATAATATATGTCAGTCGGAGTTGTTAAGTTATTAATTGTTTCACCCGCACAGGCATGCAGACCATAGCCGTGAGAGCACCTTGCAATGATCATAATATGTACCTGACCTTCAAATAAGGTCTGTCCTTCCGTGAAATATTAACACTTCTGTTATTATCCAAGTCATAAAAAACTGATGGTGTTTTCTGAAAGTGCTTGGGAGGACTTGCCTATATGACCAATAAATGCACCGAATTTCGGATTTTCTTGCATTAAGATGTTCAGAAGTCCTCGGCGGCACAAATCTAAATTTTAAATGCTCATCATATAGTAACTGAACAAGAATCAAAGTTCTTCGAAGCAACTTTAGTCCATTTATGCAATATCCAGTAATCTTATATATATTCTATGTGAAGTGGCTGAGACAGTGCTCCGTGCATAGTCATGGTAAAAGTCAAAGTCTTCTCAGGATGTGGAGACTAATGGTCAATATATATTGCAATACGAAATCTTTGTATCTTTGTATAGAATGTAGTTAGCTAATATAATAATATTAATCCTGCTGTGCAGACATGCATTATATATAATATGCCATTATGGTGAGATAGTTTTCTTTTATTGTCAGTTGCCTTTTTTCCAATACTCCCTTTATTCGCGTCTTATTCTCTCATTATATGATGTGGTTATTTCTTTGTGGACTATTTTAGCCTTTGACGTAATAACGTGATTATTATTTTCTCCTTGCGGTTTTTATGTGTCCCAGAGGTTTTAAAGGATAGCAAGAAAGCCTATTTAGCTGCAGTTGTATGTATTAATCCTTTAGTCTTTGTAACTACTGATCATTTTGGAATCACTTTTGGTCACTTTAAAAATAAGGTGTAATCCGACTTGATATTTTGTCGCAATGCACCGAAATGGGCATACCGTCTCTGGATAAAGCTCCCAAATTTTGACCCATTTAATCTTATGAAACTTTTGTAGATATGTTGTTTATTTTGTATCTTCTAGCATATCCATCTTTTGTATATTTTTGTTTAGGGCAACGTTTGACATTAGTGGGTAAACGTGCACTTATAAATTCATCTGCTTTGAAATAACGCCGCTCTTATAACGATTTTTACTATTTTCTGACTATTGATACTGCAACAAAAAATGCATGAAAAGAGAAATTTATGGACAGGCGATGGTGATATATTAAAAAAGACCCAAACATTTTGAACCTGGTTTCTTACGGGGGGGGGGTCTATAGGTTATAAATGGGGTTACCCCTTCCCCTGCTTCATTTTCCTCATTTATTTATTTATTTATTTATTTATTTATTTATTTATTTATTTATTTTGAATCTTAATAATAGGCGGAGTTTTGAGTTATGGAAGGTTAAGCTACAGAATTTCGATAATGGCTCCATTTGGACATATGGCACCGGTGATATTTTCATTCATTTACTTTTGCTTACATATGTTACTTGGCATGCGTTACTTTTATGCAATATCCTTTTCAGCTGTTGCCAATGGCGCATTTTGTATAAAAATGGCACGAAAGTCCGAATGGCTGAATTTGATTTACTTAAGTTCCCTTCAAACCAAAGCTGCATACAAAATGAATTGTTCATGTCATTATACGAGGCAAAGACGAATCTACGTAGCAAAGTAAGCGCCTGTTTACATTTTATATTCCATATAAAAAGTCACAGATCCGTGTCACTAATGTTCAATAGTTAAAGTTCTCTTTATGACATTGACACTGTTTCTAGGTATATATATATATATATATATATATATATATATATATATATATATATATATATATATATATATATATATATATATAAAGAGTATGTTATATAGCTATTGTCCACCACTGAAAGTAAGTTTACAGTACAATGTGTAAAGATATGAAAATGGGTGAACATGTTATGCACTTAAACTTTTTTAATAATAAAACTGAAAAAATGGACAACGAGACTTAGTACAATACGAAAAACAAAAAGTTAACGTGGAAACAAGTTAATTTATTTGGGGTGTATTTGACAGAAAATGAACATTGTAACAGGGTACATAAGTGTGGTTTAAATATTTGAATCATAAACTATATTTGGCACTTTTAGGAAGGGAAAATGGCCACAAGTGGAGGATAACCTTTATTTTTGATATATTAATTATCAACAGCAGTTGTTGAATATAGGCGACGGTATACATATTGTCATATATATTAAGTGCTTGCACATTCGTCTAGTCTACAATACATGTTGAATAAAATAATTTACTATTATATATACAAATGCAATTGTTGAGTACTGTTTCTGTTATTCTTTTAACATGCATATTTTAAAACTGTTGGTATTTAATATTGAATTTGAAACCAATACACCTGATGAAATTCATTTTCCAGAAATATTGTATCGTATGTAACTGTCTGACTCACTACAAATATTCATTCAAATATTTTAGTGTTTCGATGGGGTGCCTCTTGTTTAACAAATTAATATATTTAATTACCCACCAACCTAATATATCTTGGCTTCAGCTGGCATAAATTGTTCAGAAACTCGTCTTTCTTCCTCATCTTTTACTACAAACACGTATCGACCCTTCGTCTTGGAAATCTATTTACTTTTTTTTTATTATTTCTCAAGACACCATTAGAATTAAAATAAAACACCTTTACAGAGAAGTATTTTGTACTTGGAATTAACATCGAGGCGTATCCCCAACATTCCATTTATTATTAAATGTATTTTAATAAATCCGTGACAATGCACTGAAAGCAGCGAGGGTCTACAATTATCTTATTTCAGTTTTTAGAAAAATCTTATATACGAAATTTGCACATAAAATGGATCTTTCCTTTAAAAATACTTCTACTTACAAACCATTGCTCGAGCCGATTTGGTGTTTTATACTATTTTCCATGACATCTAAGCTGTTAATTAAGAAATATAGACATCAAGTACTTTTTATTTAAGGGGCTTTATCGTTCTTAAACGCTAAATTGAGAATAACCGTAATAGACTTTCGAAATTTGGTTTTCTTCGATGTTTGGTGTCGAAAAGAAGTCGAATATGGGCAGTTGAATATCATGAGAATACACTCGGGAGGACAGCGGCATAATTGTGCTGGGTGAGACTTAATTGTTGTGCCGCACTGATTGCTATAGGCATATATAGCTCATTGCTTTAGGTGAACTCTGACCTCCAGCTGCAAAAAAATAGTGGAGACCTTTTGTATTTTTTCCAAGATGGAAGAGAAAAAAATGTGAAATGTGTAAATGAAATTAAAAAACGTCATCTTTATAGCAAGAAATGCGTATCTGATACATCTTACCGACACTCATTTAGCGCCGCTCGTTCACTAACTTTTTAGTGTCGTTTTTGTTTGGTCTAACTGAAATATCAAAACTTGCTTTGGCCGGCCACGCGCACCCTCCCTCAGGGCCGCGGATGACAATACATTAATTATGTGCATTTGTCTTCATCGCAAAAATCGTGTCAGGAATATAGGCCTACCAGAGGCATATGTGTGAATATTTAGTGAAAACCAATCTGTGATCCCCAATGAGATAGAGATAGGTTATAGGTACTCGTAAACTAAAGGTACACAAAAGAGGATTGGGACTCTAAAATTCATATTTAACGACTTATCCCGGGGTATTCGGCTACTGATTTACAACCAGACGCAAGATCGTAGGCCTACGTTACAAGCGATAGATTGGCCTATTGCATGAATATGCAATGATAAAAGGGCTATCAACTCTACATACAGTAAGGTGATAACGTTTGTCTTTCAAGCTGAGTTTGCATTGGTAGGCCCTATTGGGTGAGTTTTCGATGAGAGAATCGAATTTATCTGAGACTTTTCTGTCTCTGTATCTGTCTAAACCAGCCTTTGTTCACGTTACAAAAGTCTTACTCACGTGAGTTTTATCGTTTTTAGTTGGTAGGGTAGTTAATCGATATTTCAAAATTGGCATCAAAAATGGCAAAGGATTGGGCCTATCTTGGTAAATGCCGCACACAAATGCCGCTATTTATCCAATCAGATTAACAGAACGTAATGTTACCAAGCAGGTGAAAAGCTTACAAATATAATCACAGCGTTGTAAGATTTCTCATTAAGAGACGACAAATACACCTTACCTGCTTAATATCGCCCTCAAACAGGTAAGTTTTTAACAAGGTGCCAGTAATATAAATTAAGTAGAACTGCCGGTAGGCCTATAGGGAAGGGGGTAGGGGCTCGAGGGGGGGTGCAGTGTCTCACTGTAAGCCCTACATGTGTAGTATGTCATAAAGGGTGATGGCAAACTCACTTGGTTTTGTCTTGACTCGTTCATCAGACTGTTTTGGAGAGGTAGAAGTGAAGGTTACAGTTGGTGTTATGGAGTGGGAGATACGCCCCATTGGATTCAGCACTGGATGAGAGGTTAAGGATTCGCTGCTAGGCCTAATGCCTTATTTGCGTTGTCATAATTTTCTAAGTTACTGTAGTGTACTGGCAAGTGAAGTGTGAATGATCTCATACGTTCAGTAATTTAAATGTTTTACAACATAATTTCATTTATGTGTACTGACATATATTTTTCAGAAAAATGTCTGAGAGAAAGGCCGTAGTTAAAAATGCTGATATGTCTGAAGACATGCAGCAAGACGCAATTGACTGTGCCACACAGGCGCTAGAAAAATACAACATTGAAAAAGACATCGCCGCTTACATCAAGAAGGAATTTGACAAGAAATACAACCCTACCTGGCACGCGATTGTGGGGCGCAACTTCGGCAGCTACGTGACACACGAAACCAAGCATTTCATCTACTTCTACCTAGGCCAAGTTGCCATCTTACTCTTCAAGTCTGGCTGAACCAGAAGAATTCCCACAAGCACCTGTACTCTGACTTCTTTTTTAAAAAAAAATGGTGGAAGACAAATACTTTTATGAGACAATGAAAAGCAGATGATATTTATACAGGAGATATTTTCCATGGTGACTATGTGTGGTCTTAGTAAACTTTAACTCAACAAATCATGAGATAAATTTGCAGACATCTTACATTATGTGATCCTTCTCTGTATGCATTTTATATTTATAAATATTTTTTGAAAAAATAAAGTAAATTATTGTTTAAGTATTTATGTGTTTGAATTTACTTTTTTGATATTCTTAAGTGGCCATATTTAATCTGTTCTGTCACCGAACGCTCCTATAACCTTCTAATATTAAGCTATTAAGTTATCTAACCAAGTCAAAGCCACTATCTTTCTCTACTACCAAAGAAAAAAAGATCGAAACTGTTCCATAAAGTAATTCCATCCTGAATTTTAATCAAAGCTTTTGGAACTAGAAAAACACTGCGAGAGCGCAGACCTCCGCCAAGGTAGCAATTTTTATTATTATTGATTAATGATTGCTTATTGAGCCGGATCACCACCAAAAACTAATCATCTCTTCTTTGGCCCACTTCTGACAGTTCTTGTAAATTTCATCAAAATCGGTCCATAACTTTTTTAGTTATGTTGATGACAATCAAACAAACAAACAAACAGACAAACAGGGGTGAAAACATAACCTCCTTGGTGGAGGTGATAATAGGCCTACTGTTTTTCTCCTGTTCATGATAAACCTATATTTATCCAGTATTTTCATGTGTTGGGTTGAACTATAAGACGATTTGGCTTGTTACAAAATATATAACTAATGGAAACATTGCCTGTAAAGGTAGACGTTAACGTCGGTATTACTTTGAACTTTTATTTTCTGAACCAGCTCCCTTAGAGCATTGTGAAACAAGCTGTCCACACGGGCATTTGTGCTGTCCCGGACATGCCTGCGTTTCCATTGTCGCTGGCGTGCAAGTCGACATTTTCCCTGCTGTGTCCTCTACGCCTTTGTGAACAACATAATTTTTTCCATTGCCTGATTTCTATGAAGGATCAATTTACCGTTCTCGCCTTGTGCAATAGGGCGACTGGTTGAAAAATGCGTTGTGCGCATTGGGCGTAGGCCTACATATAGCAGAGAGAGAGAGAAAAAGAGTTGATCATCGCACGCAGAAAAATCAGCGGCGAACTGTATACAACATTTGCCTCCCTTGAATCTGATTCAAGTTTTATCTATTCTTGTGGCAAAAAGGGTATCTAACCTAACCCCAGCTAGTTATTTTACTAATTTTAAACCTGTTCTCACGCAAGACAGTGTTGGGCCTATCTTGTTAAATGCTCCGCGAAAATGCCGTTTATTGTCCAATCAGATTTATGAATGGTAATGTTACTAAGCAGTATAAAAGCTTTAAAATATAACCACAGCATTTTTAGATCAGAGACAAAATATACATCTATCACAGCTTAATACCGCCCTTAAACAGGTAAGTTTTTAACAAGGTGCCAGTTATATTAATTCAGTAGCACTGGCGGTTACAGGATTGAACTAAATAAGGGTAGGGGCGCGAGGAATGTGCGGTGTGCACAATTAAGAACACATTGCTTTGCTGCCCTTAAGCAAATATGCTAGAATAGAAGAGAATGAATTTATTAATGTAGGTCAGAGTGGTGAAAATATATCTTCTTGATTCCTTTGTTTTCCGGGTTTTTGAGAGGTAGGAAGAGTAGGCCTACAATAGGAGCTATGGAGTAAGGGATACACCCCTATGGTACAGCATTGTGGGGAGAAGTTTAGGATTTGCTATTATTGTCATAGATAAGATAATCAAATCATTTTTTTTTTTGTGGATTGCATTTTATGACGCCGAAATTTACGTGTAGGCCTACATT